CATATAGTCTAGTTGTTTTTAAACATAGCTGTTCATTAGAAACACATCTGGAGCTTTGGAGAAAAAAAAGCAATACCTGGGCATTTGTATTTTTCAAAAAATTCCGAGATAATTCTGATATGCATCTGAATTTTAAAAAGTGATTGCAGGTTTTTCTATTAAATAGTAGCTGTAGTGATTTAGAATTCTATCATTTTCTGTTGGCCAGTCATGATACAGTGCTATTAAGTGAATAATAGTTACATAATTACAACAGTAAAAGATGCTTATCAACTTTCACAATCAATAGTCAGGCAAAAAATAAAAGATAATTACAGTTGCAAGCCATAATGGAAACATGATTAACCTAACAATATAAAATAGTTACATACAATTTGGGGGGTTAAGTAAGGTGGCATTATAAGTGGAAGTGCATCCATGTACATATATTCATCCACCCAGCCAGTCTGTCTTTTGGCTGGTGCATTTCATCCATTTACACTTAAGGTAATTATAGGTATGTATGGTCCTCTGGGTGGAGAAGGAAATGGCAACCCACTCCAGTATTCTTGCCTAGAGAATCCCAGGGATGGGGGTGCCTGGTGGGCTGCTGTCTATGGGGTCGCACAGAGTCAGACATGACTGAAGTGACTTAGCAGCAGCAGCAGCCTGGTCCTCTGGGTGTCACTAGGGGTAAAGAACCCGCCTACCAATGCAGGAGATGTAAGAGACGTGTGTTTGATCCCTGAGTCAGGAAGATCCCCTGGAGGAGGACATGGCAACCCACTCCAGTATTCTTGCTTGAAGAATCCCATGGACAGAGGAGGCTGGTGGGTCGCAAAGAGTCGTACTCTTATACTGAAGTGACTTAGCATGCACATTATCATTTTGGTAATTGTTTGGGTTTGTTTTGTGTTGGTCTTTTCCTTCTCTTGTGTTTCCTGCCTAGAGAAGTTCCTTTATTATTTGTTGTAAAGCTGATTTGGTGATGCTGAATTCCCTTAACTTTTGCTTATCTGGAAAGTTTTCCTTGCTGAGTGGAGTATTCTTGGTTGTAGGTTCTTCCCTTTCAACACTTTAAATAATTTTGCTATTCCCTCTGGCTTGTAGTGTTCTGTTGAGAAATCAGCTGATAACTTACAGGAGTTTCTTTTTATTTGTTGTTTTTCCCTTATTGCTTTTAGTGTTTTATCTTTGTCTTTGATTTTTGTCAGTTTGATTACTATGTGTCTCAGTGTGTTCCTCCTCGGGTTTATCCTGCCTGGGACTCTCTGTGCCTCCTGGACTTGGTTGACTATTTCCTTTCCCACGTTAGGAAAGCTTTCAGCTATTATCTCTTCAAATATTTTCTCAGGTCCTTTCTCTCTCTCTCTCTTCCTTCTGGAACCCCTATAATGCAAATGTTGGTGCCTTTAATGTTGTCCCAGAGGTCTCTTAGCCTGTCTTCATTTTTTTTTTTTTCATTCTTTTTTCTATATTCTGTTCTGCAGTAGTGATTCACACCATCCTTTCCCTCAGATCACTTAACTGTTCTTCTGCCTCATTTATTCTGCTGTTGATTCCTTCTAATATATTGTTCATCTCTGTTTGTTTTTTAGTTCTTCTGAGTGTTAGTCATTCAGTCGTGTCCCACCCTTTGCGACCCCACCCCATGGACTACAGTCCATGCGACCCCATGGACTGTAGCCCACCAGGCTCCTCTGTCTGTGAAATTCTCCAGGCAAGAATATTGGAGTGGGTAGCCATTCCCTTCTCCAGAGGATCTTCCCAACCCAATGGATTAAATTTGAGTCTTTTGCATTGCAGGCAGATTCTTTACTGTCTGAACTACCAGGGAACCATTTTTCTAGGTCTTTGATAAAAATTTCTTGTATCTTCTCCATTCTGTTTCCAAGGTCCTGGATCATCCTCACTATCATTCTGAATTCTTTTTCTGGAAGGTTGCCTATCTCCACTTATTTAGTTGTTTTTCTGGGGTCTTATCTTGTCCCTTTATCTGGGACATAACTCTCTGCTTTTTCATCCTGATTAACTTTCTGTGGTGTGATTTTCATTCTAACTGCTGTGAGATTGTGGTTCTTCTCACTTCTTCTGTCTGCCCTTTGGTGAATGTGTAAGTTTTCTGATGGGAGGGACTATGTGGGGGAAACTGTGTCTTGTTCTGGTGGGTAGGGCCTTGTTCAGTAAAGCTTTAATCCAATTACCTCTTGATGGGTGAAGTTGATCCCTCCCTGTAAGTTTTTTGGTTTGAGGCCACCCAGCCCTGGGGTCTCTGGGCTCTATGGTAGGGTTAATGGCAAACTCCAAGAGGACTTAAGCCATGGACCAGCTTTCAGGACTGCTGCTGCCAGGGCCCCATCCCTGTGGTGAATCACTGCCAACCCGCCTCCATAGGAGGCCCTCCAACACTAGCAAATAGGTCTGGTTCAGTCTCCTGTGGGGTCACTGTTCCTTTCCCTTGGGTCTTGGTGCACATAGATTTTGTTTGTGCCCTCCAAGAGTTGAGCCTCTGTTTCCCCTAGTCCTGTAGAAGTCCTGTAATCAAATGTCACTGTCCTTCAAAGTCAGATTCCCTGGAAATTCCCAAATTCCCTTTGCTGGATCCCTAAGCTAGGAAGCCTTACATGGGGCTCAGAACCTTCACAACAGTGGGAGAATTTCTTTGATATTATTGTTCTCCAGTTTGTGGGTCACCCACTTGGCAAGTATGGGATTTGATTTTACCGTGATTGTGACCCTGCTACCATCCTGTTGTGGCTTCTTCTTTGTCTTTGGATGTGGGGTATCTTTTTTGGTGGGTCCAGAGTCCTCCTGTCATGGTTGTTCAACAACTAGTTGCAATTTTGTTGCTTTTTTAATAGGAGATGAGTGCACGTCCTTCTGCTGGACTATCTTGAACCAGAAGCCAGAAGTGCAGTCTTAACCACTGGGCCACCAGAGAAGTCCTAATAGCCCCATGTTTTTAAATTGATGTTTCATGTGTGAATAATAATAACAAAAGTTACTTTGTGCCAAGCATTATCTTAAAATTCTTCAACTCTATGAAGTGAGTACTTTTTAATCTTTTTACAGACAAGAAACTGAGCATCAGAGAGAGAGGAACTAACTTGCCAAGTCACAGACCTAGAGAGTGATTTGAATCTAGGTGTGTTTGACTCTAGTCTGCTAAAACGTGACTAGATCAAGGGGAGAGGGGGGCATTAGCAAAGATAACCTAAACTAAGTGGGAAGGAGAGACAGCCTTGCCTTCTGTGGATGCAGGGCAGTGAGAGAAGGCAGCACACCAAGGTGGAAAAGTCTTAAAACACAGAAAGAAAGAGGTATTGACTTTTGGACAAACTATGAGTTCTCCCACTTTGCTTTACCTTCCCTGCCATCTCCCTAGTGTGAAATCTTGAATCCTGCAAGAGGGATTTCATGTTCATTCCTCTTCATCTCAATATAATTCTCGCCATCATCAGTATAATTGGAGATGCAAATAGATCTTCTCTGACTTCCCCCTGCTCAAACTCCTTCAAGGACCTGCGCTTACACTAAGGATAAAATCCCAAAGCTTTAAAGTGGCCTGTGAGGCCCTGCTTCTGCCTACCTGCCCAGTCTCCACTTGTTCTCTTCTCTCCACCCTGTTGCCCATTTTGCCATATAACAATACTACCGGCTAATATTTATTGTCTCTCTTCACCTTTTGGCCTTTTTATCCTTCAGATCTCACTCAGCTTAGGGTTTCCCTGGTGGTTCAGTGGTAAATAATCCACCCGTCAATGCGTGAAACATGGGTTCCATCCCTAGTCTGGGAAGATCCCACATGCTGTGAAGCAACTGAGCACATGCGCCATGACTACTGAGCCTGTGCTCCAGGGCCTGGGAGCTACAGCCACCGAGGCCCGTGCACCCCAGAGGCTGTGCTCTGCAACCAAAGAAGCCACCGCGATGAGTAGCCCCCACACACAGCAACTAGAGAAAAGCCCACACAGCAAGGAAGACCCAGCACAGCCAAAAAGAAATAAATATTTTTAAAAATCTCATTCAGCTTAAACGTCATTTTCTCAGAGAGACCCTCCTGATTGCCTACTCCATCTATGAGGCTTCTCTGTTGCATGCAGAATCTTTAGTTGTGGGATCTAGTTCCTGGACTAGGGAGCAAACCTGGGCCCCCTGCTTTGGGAGTGCACAATCTTAGCCACTGGACCACCAGGGAAGTCACTGTTTGTATATTTAAAGATTAAGGTATGTCTCCATCACTAGACTGTAAACCCCTTGGGACAATGATCGTGTCTGTTTCCATGATTGCTGTATACCCAGTGTTAAGCATAATCCCTGCCTGTGTTAAGTTTCCAATAAGTGTTCATGGAAACAATAGATGAATTGACAGATAGGTAAGAGCCATACCTCCTTTTCACTGAGTAGTGTACACACAGAGACAAACGTCCAGTTAGTCATCAGTAGACACACGTGAGTAAGTTTTGACAATGAGCACAAACATTTATTTCAGCTTAAACTTCGTTTGGTTTCTTTGGAGTATCTTGGAGTGGAACTGAAGCAGGAGCTGAGTGAATGAAGAGCAGAGTCCAGTTCTGAGCTTGGGTTTGGTCAGAGTCACTGAAACCTGTGCAGAGTGGAGAGAGGAGGGGAATATCAGCTTAGAGTCAGCAAAGTAAGTGTATTCTGGCACCCAGCCATAGTTCAACTCCTCCTACCTCCAAATTGCCTTTCTAATGGTAATTATTCCAAAAAGTGCAGAGACTGTTACCCACTTTACCAAGGAGATTTTCTCATACTCTTTTCTCCATTGTTCTGGCCACATAGGGTCCTTCTAACCCTCTTACAGGAAGCTATTCCAGATTTGTTTCCTCAATCCCTCAACTTCCCATCACCAAAGTCTGAATTTGTTTTGGTTTCTGCACCTTGGTGTCTGCATCTTAAATGAATGTCCTGTCTCACTGTTCGAGTGTCTGGATCCCTCCATGGTTTTGAGCCATCCCTTACTTCTAAGACATGATATCAATAAATTGAAAGACTTCCTAGATGAGGAGGAGGATTTGAGGATTATTGAGACCAGTGGGAGCTACAGAGAAGGGCAACGTTCCTCCAACTCTAGGGGTTTCATCACTGAGAACTTGCCATGGCACAAGGGTACTGAGGGAAAGCTAAGGATGGTATGGCTTGGGGTTGGTAGGGCAGGTGAGAGCAGCATCTCACCTGGAGGAAACTGAGGAAGAAGTGAAAGTGGTACTAACATCTGTCAACATTGAAAGTGAGGTCGCTCAGTTGTGTCCGACTCTTTGCAACCCCATGGGCTGTAGCCCACCAGGCTCCTCCACCCATGGAATTTTCTAGGCAAGAGTACTGGAGTGGGTTGCCATTTCCTTCTCCAGGGGATCTTCCCAACCCAGGGATCGAACCTGGGTCTCCCACATTTCGCGCAGACGCTTTACCGTCTGAGCCATCAGGGAATCCACTCTTAATATTCTGCAGATGTTGCTCTCAGCCTTTTCCTAGCATTATCTTATTGAAACCCCACCAAATCCTATGAAGTGGTTTAAATAACCCTGACTTTCACAAAAATGCCAAGTTTCAGAGAGTGTAAGTAATTTGTCAGCCTGTGTTGGGGTGAAGATCTGAACCCACGTCTGACTCCAGAGCGAGAGCTCGCAACCAATATGCAAGATGCCCAAAGCTGCCAAACTCCCACCTGAGCCTGCAGAGCTCCATCTGATCCACCATCCAGGCCAGCAGCTCTCGAATCAGTAAAAGCTTTAGCAAATCTTCATCACTGGGGTTCTTGGGTAGGGAGCTACAAAGGAGAAAGCCTCTGGCAGGCCCCTTAAGCCCAGGCCCCACCCAGAGAGAGTAAATACAGGGGTTGGCCGGTGGTGGGACAAGGTGGGGCAGGGGCGGGGATGTGCACGTCAACACAGCTGCCTCTCAGTTGTCTCAGCTTTCAAAGCTCCGCCCAGACCTGTCGCCAGGAAATATGGGCTCTTCCATACAAGCAAAGACAAACAATTCTGGTGGGAGACGTCCAACCTACCCACCTCTACAAGTTTCCCAGAGTGTATTCCACCCCCCCAGAGATTACTTTGGGAATGTTCACTCTTTAGAATAATCTGTGTCAATTCCTCAGCTTCCTACAGAGACAGGGTAACTGATTTCAGGGGACCGGCCTTGGGAGGGTCCTTGTTCCATAAAAGCCTTCCTGAAGCTTAGCAGACAAAAGGGGAGAAGCCAGTTTCTGAGGTCCCTATCGAGCCTCTTCTGGACTTGGTGACTGCACATTAAGTCATCACTCTTAATGTGCCCCAAATCCCCTCCCAGGACCCCCACCCCCATGCCTCCTGGGCTATTCCCTTAGGCTTGGGCTGATCTCCAGGAGCTCTGTGAGGACCCCTCTTTGAATTCTGGGTAGAAGAGGATGCTTCTCTGGGGCCTAGCCCTGCTCTGGAGTCTGGGAAAGGGAACAATGAGGTGGGAGTGAGTCGGAGGCCCCACCCCCACCCCTTCCCCTGCGGGCCAACTCACCCCTGCTCCTCCTTTGCCTCCTCCTTCCTGTTAGACTGATGGGCCAGCTCTAGGGCCCCTGCCTCCCTCTGGGTGATGTTGTGTTTCCAGCTGGTAAAAGAAAGATTAGGGAATAGGTGAAGCCAGGGGCGATTCCAGATATTCTCCAGTCCAAAGAAGCTCCAACCATTTGGTACCTCAACCCAAGGAGCAGAGGGTACCTCTTTCTTCAGTCAACCTCCCAACTGCTTGTCGTCAGCTGCCAGTGAAAAGCTTTTCAAAAGCTACCATGCAGGTCAAACAGCAAAGGCAGGGAAAGAGACTTTGCAAAGAGAAAACCGATGAGATCAGCTCATCTTATTTCCAAAGTCTGAAGCTGCCACCACCGAATAGTCAGCAGCAGCAGTTCAGCTTCCCTGCCTTCATCCCAAGCCCCCTGGGGATCCTTTCTGAGCCCAATACACCTTCCTTGACCCCTCCCCTTAGAAGAAAAGGATTGGAAAATTGCCCACGTCCTGCCCTCAGGCCATACTGCTGCCTGAGTCAGGAGCCCAGGCAGGACTGCCGTGCAATTCAGCTCCCGATCAGCACCTAAGTGAAAGGCGCCCCTGGACTTGTGCATCTCACGGGGCACAGGGAGCAGGGAGGGGGTGGGGAGTGCACACGACTCACTCGCTCTTCTTCCCCTTCTGTGCCAGTAGCCAGTTCACAAAGTCTTGTTGGCGGATCTTGTCCATGGCGATACTGTAGTCACTGATGAAGGTGCCCTCAGCATACCTGGTTGCTCGAGGCTGGGAGTCACTGGCCTTAGAGTGGAACCTGAGGGGCAGGGAGGGGAGAGAGAGGGAAACCGGGGTGCCATAGAAGGAGCAGAGAGCGCAAAGATCAATGATTGTCACCACCAGGTAACATTTGAAAAGGAAGCAGCCCATTTTTGGGGAGTCAGTTTTTATGGAGTCACTGTCTTGTCCATGCATCAAGCCTCTGGGACTTTATCCTCAACTCAAGAGCCCACTTCCTGCATCCTCAGTATGTGAGGCTCTGGCTTCTGGGCAAAGATCAGGGGTTCCCCTCATCCCCAAGGACTGAATCACAGTTCCCTCCTTCTCTCCTTCTGTCCTGGTGCCACCCAATTCAGTTATTTGGTTCTCAGATTCCTAATAATGGGCTTCCCTGGTGGCTCAGATGGTAAAGCATCTGCCTGAAATGCAGAAGACCTGGGTTCAATCCCTGGGTCAGGAAGATCCCCTGGGGAGGGAGATGGCAACCCACTCCAGTACTCTTGCCTGGAGAAATCCATGGACGGAGGAGCCTTTTAGGCTACAGTCCATGGGGTCATAAAGAGTTGGACACAACTGAGCGACTTCACTTTCGCTTTTCCTAATGATAGTGAGCTCTTATAAAACAGGACTTCATATGAGTCAGGTCCTCTTCAAGTCCTTTAATACATAAATTCATTATGTAGGAGGAAAACATACAGGTCTTTGGTGAGTTATGAAACCACAACACAGAGAGATTAATTTAGCATACAGCATAAGCGTGACCAGGGCTTACCCTCAGCTACTCTGGGTCCAGGTCTACAGTCTTTAACTTCTACACGATGTTGTCTCTCCTTGTACGTGTCTGACACCGTGCCTCAAAGTTACACGGCCAAATTGATAGGGCCATATGGCTTGTCCTTGCATCTGAGAAGGCCTAACTCTACTCAGACATGTCTCTCTTGGTCTCCCCAACACACAGAGTCCCCTACTAAGTGTGTGTGTGTTCATTCACTAAGTCCTGTCTGACTGTTTGCAACCCCATGGACTGCAGCACACCAGGCTTCCCCGCCCTTTACTATACTTCCCCCTATTATATTCACTCATAACCTTCTCTGCCTCTCCTCACAGCACTCATGACAGTTTGAAGTTTGTTTAGATGGGTCTCTGTCTTTCCCTTGGATCTATATGTTCCATGAGGACAGGTGGTATTTGTGGACCACTCTTCATGTGTATCCCTTGTGCTGAGCACACAGGAAGCTTCCTATAAAATCTGATCAAAGGCACAAATAAATGAGCAGTTAAGGCTTTCATCAGGGAGATACTATCATCTACTTCAGACACTTCACTGCTGAGAAGTCCTTCCAGAGATTTAACTGCAATCTCTCAAGCTGCAACAGTAGCTGGTAAAAAATACTCACTGGTTCTAGCCTCGCTCTGCACTCCGATTACTGTAAGGTTTTCCCTTGAGCATCTTTCTTCTTGACCTGGGATACCTCCCTTTCTTACCTGTCTCTTGAAAACCGGAACCCAATCACCTCCCCAGCCCCCACACCTGACCCCTCCTTCTCACCCCAGCTCGGAGTGGTCCTCTTCTTTCTCCCCCAGCACCACCGCCAGGAGCAGAGACACCACCAGCAGGGAGAAGATCTTCATGGCCAACATCTTCCAAGGGTTCTTTCCTGAGATAAGAGAGAAAAGGACGAGGGTGAGAGGAAGCCCTGTGCTGAAGGAGCAGCCAGTTTGGTGGTGCACTTAGGAGCCCTGGAGCCTGGAATCTGGAAGCTGGGGGCCAGGCCTTGGGAGTTGGAGCTTTTCTAAGACACTGGAGAAACACCTTGGGGATGGTGAGGGGTGCTGGCATTAGAGTTAGAAGGGACATTAGAAGGCGTGTGGAACCTGGCCAAGGGTGAACCAGTTTTGGGGGTTTTAGGAGGAGTCTAAGCAGGGAGGAAGGAGGGCAGCGGGGGGTGATCCTGGCAGGAGAAAGTAGCGAAGGCTTGTATGTCTGGATGGCCCCCTTTCCTGGCCCCCATGGCTAGACATCGTGGGCATGTGAACTGGCAAGGTTCTCACCTCCAGAGTCTCCAGCTGGCCTTCCAGCTCTCAAATTGGCTGTCACCAAAATCATCGCAGCCCTCTTGCCCAAAGTGAAAACCGCAAATAGGAGCCCCCTCTACTTCTCAGACTTCACTGTCCCCACTCAGGGATGTCTGATGCTTCTGCCAAGGGCAAGCCCCATTTCCGCAGGGCATCTTCAGCAGAACTTTGCTTCCAAGCCCTGAGCAACAAAGCTAGCTCTAGAGATGTGTGGGCTGCAAGACCCTGCCTTCCTGCCTTGTCACCTCGGTGTTAAATTAACCCTTAGCACCATCTTCTTATTATTTGTATAGAAGAAAAGTGCTAGGGTGCTGAACACCTCAGGGGTGCCGAGACCCACCCCCCTCCAGCATCTCGTCCATTGCCACCCCTTCCCAGCTGCTCTCTTACCAGGCTTCCTTTCCAGCTCGCCCAGAAGGACAGAGCAGGGGTCTTCTCCTCCTCCTTCCTGGCCCTTCAGAGCCTGTCTCAGGAAAGTTTGCCCTGGCTCCTTTATATCCAGGCATCACTGATCTACTGATTAGCCTAAAAGCATCTTATCTCAAGAAATTAAGCCCACAGCTCCCGCCACATTAAGTCCATTTTACACATAATAAAGTTGTCCTTTCCACTTGGACTGTGCTAATTGGTGATTAACATTTGGGAATCTCCAGCTGCTGTCTGGGCTTGACCTGTGGGCAGGGTATCTTAAGTGCCCCTTTTCTTCCCCCCTTCCCCTTCTGGGCCCCAGTATCCCCCCACTTCCTTTATAGGTGTCCTCGCTTAGAAAGGATGCCCCTGGTGAGGGCAGGGGCAGGTAGGGTGGCACTAACTGGAGTGGGGTCTCTCTCACCGGCATCAGGCTACTCCTGGCTTGGAGGGCGTGGGACCGCAGTGGCCTAAGGCTTTGTCAGCGTGGCAGTGTCTCCATCTAGATGTCTAGGAGGGGGTCCAGCTAGCTGGAAAGGGCCGAGAGTGACAGGCAGAGGGTTAAGGGAACATGAAGGATGGGGGTTTCCTAGTGAGAGCTGTGAACTGAGAACTTCCACTCGAGCTACCTTCCTGCTAAGGGGCAGGCAGAATCGGGAAATGAGGCTCATGGACACCGTGGGGACACAGAGCAAGGCAGGTCAACTACAACTCAATTCTAACTGGAGAGATTTATGAACTCCAAGTCTCCCTGCTCAAACGCTCTGCTCTCCTGTAAGAGAGAAGTATATGCCCCTGTGTTTGCTATGGGAGTGGGGGCCCTGAGGCCCTGCCCTCCTCCATCAGACTCTGGGCTCTAAGTTCAGCACTGGGAGCCAGGCTGTGTGCCCCATGGCACGGAGGCTTCCTCAGGCTAGGGGTGGTATCTGATCCCGGGACTGGAGACTTGTTGAGAGGCGCCCTTTTCTTTCTCCAAGCACCTAGTGCATGGCTGTGTCCCCATGGGCTCTCGGTCCACAAGGGACAGGGCACAGCCTGCACGTTTGGCCGACCCCCAAGGCCTCCTTCCCCGACTGTCCCTTCTCCACTCGCTGTGGGTACTTTGAACCCTAAACAGCCCTGCTAGCTGCAGGGCCGAGTAAAGACCACTTTCCTCTCCAGGTCAACTTCCCGGCCTGGGAACAGGTCTAGCATGAAATTAAGTGCTTGTGTGGGATGAGAGGTAACTAACTAGGACAGCTACCCACCTCTGCTTCCTAGAAACCTCGCCTACCCATTACCCATTTTCCACCATCTCAGAAAACTTCTCTCTGGGAAAGCTCTGCAAACTCCATCTCCTAGCTATCAATAGGCAGAGATTAGACATCGTTCAGATTTGGCCTCCAAAGAGAGTGTGGGGGCTGCTTGTGATCCTGCTTCCTGGTGAGCAACACAGTAAATGGACTCAGAAGGGTTGATGTCCAAACCTGGGCCTCTGCTGAAGGCACAGTTTATCCAAAAAGGGTGGACATCATTCCCTAGGACCCTTACGTCTCATGTCCAACCGAAGTCAAGGAAGGTTCTGGAATGGGTCCCAGCAGTCCTGAGCCCCTGCCGGGTACTCTGGGGACTCGTATGGAGGAGTGGAGGTGTGGGATTGCTTGGAAGACCAGCTGTGCTTTTGGCCCCTACTTTACCCCCTCTTGGAACTGACCTTTATGTCGCCCTCCCCCCTCTTTCTCTTTGATTGGGGCTCTCATGCCCAGCAGTGGACAGATTAGGGAGAAATGTAGTCTGGGTCCTGGGGAAGAAGATCAGAGAAGATGCCAGACTCCAAGGGGAGCCCTCAGGTCCCTCTCTCTGCCAGGCATATTGGGAGGCCAGAGAATGGGAAAGATGACATTGGGAAGTTTCTGGGGATCAGAAGGGCCTGCTGAACTTAACTGAAATAGTTCAATAGGGAATTCCCTCCAGTGGCTAAGACTCCACACTCCCAATGCAGGGGGCTCAAGTTCAATCCCTGATTGGGGAACTGGATCCCACATGCCACAACTAAGAGTGTACATAGATCCCCCATGCCGAAACAGAGCTCCAGTGGAGTCAAATGAATAAAATAAACATTGAAAAAATAGTTAAGTAAACCCAACTGGCAGCCCAGTCAGCCTGTCAATGCCATGATGGGCAGTGCCCCGGTGAGCAGAATCCAGAGCAGCAGGATGTGAGGGATCAGAGAGGACACAGGGGATGGAGAGGCAGGAAGACATGCCCCACTTGTTGGGAGCCCAGACACAAAGGCTGATGGCCCAGACAGGTGGAGAAGGTCTGTGGATCTGGGGGTATCTGAGGACTCAGGGAAGTCAAGGAGTCAGAGTGGGGAGGGGAGGGTGATGGCAGTTCTGTTGCAAGAGAACCCAGCATCCTGATTCCCCGACTCTCCTGGCATCTCGATTGAGGCCCGGGGGGCTGGAGCAGCAAAACAGCTTTGGGGGGCTTCCTGGCTCTTCCAGCTCATGGAGGTGACTCACCCCTGCCCCCCACCGAGGCCTGCAGGGACACCACAGATGTTCCAGGCCTGGCTCCGAAGCCAAGCCAAGGTGACTCAGAGGGCTGGCTGCAGCTTCCCTGCCGTGGATTCTGTTCTAGAAATTCACTCAGTCTTCAAGCTTACCAACTGACTCAGGAAGCAGCCATCCCTCTTGGAGCTTCCTTACACCAGGTGGCAGATTTTATTCTCCTCCTGAAGAGGAGACAAGAGGTGACTGGAACTCTGACAAACTCCGCTGAGTCATCTGGTGTATCCTGATTGCTGGAAGGATTACCTCCAGCTTTCCCCTCCAGTCACATCGCAAACACAGGCGTAGTCCCAGACATTTTTCCCACTTAGCCTCCACTGCCATGCAGATCAAGATACTTTTCAGAAAGATCTTAAAGAAAGTATATACTACCTACAGCCTCTCTCGACCATCTGCTCTAGGGGATTGGTTTGGAAGTCCCCTCTGATGGCTCAGATAGTAAAGAATCTGTCTGCAATGCAGGAGGCTCAGGTTTGATCCTTGGGTCGGGAAGATTCCCTGGAGAAGGGAATGGCAACCCACTCCAGTATCCTTGCCTGGAGAATTCCATGGACAGAGGAGTGTGGTGAGCTACACAGTCCATGGGGTTGCAAAGAGTCAGACACGACTGAGTGACTAACACTCTCACTTTCTTTGCTCTAACTCCAGTCCTTCTTGCTGTTTTCAAAGGTTTGGGAGTTTTTGTCTGTTTTGGGGTGGGTTTCTTGTTTTGTTTTTGTTTTTGCCTGCTTTTGTTTGTTGAGAAAAGGGCTCAGTCCTTAGTACTTGCAGGAGAAGAGCAGTGAGGAACTAGAATTGGGAGGGGGTGGCTACAGGTTCTCAGTTCCAGGGACGGAAAGAATTGGCATTTAGGTAATAAAGGCCAAAGAGCTGGCCCTCCCAGAGAGAACAGCCTTCCTGAGCCTCTCACTCTCCTGGATAGGAGCACATCCCAGTGAAAGAAAAAGAGGGGTAGGAAGTGAGGGCTTTCCCTTCCTTTTCCTTGCACGGGGAACATGAAGGATGAAGTGGTTTTCAGTGTCCCCAGTGAGTGCCCCCAATCCTCCCAACAACACAACACACACACTTTCCTGCAATGGGTATGGGGAGAGCCTTCTGCAACTTCAGAAAACATGAAGTTTTCGTTAGATTAGGGAGTAGCCTGGTAGGATGGAGAGGGAGGAGTAGAAGGATTCAAGCTCCAGCTCCACCCTGTCACCACTCCCGGGGTTGTTTGGCTTTGTTTCCTCGAAGGCTTTACCCACACAGAGCCTTAGCTTCATTGTCTCTAAATTGGGGGCCAGAAAATAAAATCTGCTCTGCCTAGCTTATGGGAAGTGTGAAATACGTGTCTTAATTTGAGGGCTTCCTGCCAGTGTCGGCTGGTGGTTTTCTCTGGAATGACCTTACCTACCTCACTCTATCATGAGACTTAAATAAGATGAAATAATAAGTCCAGGTTGATTCAGTCCAGCACGCACAACATAGAAGATGCTGAAATTGCCAAGGAGGGCTGAGGGCTTTGGAGACAGGCCCACCTATAAGGGTGATTTGGAGTAATGTGTCTCCCTTGTGCTTTGGTTTACCTTCCGGCAAAATGAGGAATGTAATAGTTCCTGCTTCAAA